TGTAGAAGTTGCTCTTGAGATGTGATAGTGAAAAAGGAGGGAAGAAACTCTTCAGTTCCTGCAGCATTGGCAATACTTAAAGACTGGGGATCTGTTGGCTCTCAGGGGGTGTGGATGTCCCCATCCAACAAGCTGCAGAGATGCGGACAGTCTCCCCTCTGGTTTCAGCAGACTTTTATCAGTTTCAGTTGTTGTTAAACACAGCTGGTAGGGACAGGCTTTAGTGGGCCTCGTGATGATGGGTTGCCCGTTGGACTAGATGACCTTAGTGGTCTTTTCCAACTTTAATGATTCTGTGATTCTATCAACAAAGTACCTCAGGAGCAATGCTGGTGTTAGCAGAAGGTTTTCTGCTTTGTTCATATAGATTTTGAAATAATGCTTGCTGAAATCAGTGGCCCTTTTTTCATTAACTGCAGTTGGCTTTGGATCAGGACTGAGAAGGTTCACATCTACCAGAAATGCCGCTGGATGATTTCTTTAAAAAGCATTGAACTAAGATATATGATGGCATGGGCAGATCGAGGGAGAGAAAGTCCATTTCTCTTTTATATCGTCTCCTTCCTGCTCATATCAGCAATAATTTAGATAATTAAATTGCTTAGTTCAGTAGTTGGAGCAGACATGATCAGCAAGCTGACTCTGCTAAGACATCAGATGCATCAGTGTTCGTGTTTTTTTGTTTGGTTTTGTTTTTTTCCTTTTTGCGTGTATGTGTAAAGCTTTATAATTGGATACTGCCTTTTTCACCCTAGGCTAGCTGTTTCTTCAGAGGAGCATACTAAAGACATTTGAAATCACACTCTAAATGCCCGCATGGGAAATTTATATGGCATACAGTGAAGGTTCAGTGGCAGCAGACAAATGGGTAAAATTAAGCAAAAAGTATTAGCAGTCCCCTTTGACTTTAACAGTAGGATGCACAGGTCAGTTTTGGGGTTTAGTAAGACATATCCTCCAGCATAAGCTCAGATATGCTAAAGAGCACACCAAAGTCCAAAACTGGTTGTGCTTTTTACATTCAGACCTTAGTCACTGTTCCTTACACCACCCCATAGGGTCTTTGAACTTTTGTTCTTATCAGGTAGGAGTGTTATTAAATCACACTGCTGAAATTCTCATGTTAAGGCTGACATTATTTTGTGGGCTAGTTTTTTTTTGTTTGTTTATTAATACAATTTTGTGACTGACTCACTCCTCTAAAGGATGAAAGAGATCACAGAAATTGACCTTTTTTTTTTTTTCTTTTTTTTTTTTTTTTTCCTATCTTTAATTCACGAGGGTTTTAGTACAGATGACATTTCTCAAACCAGGACAACAGTGGCTGGGTGGGCTGAGGGAGGGAATATCTGGTACTTGTGCTTAAATCACTCACTCTAGAAATACTGTTAAGTTTTCTGCTCTGCCACGTTCCTTACAAATGTCTCTTCTTTTCCCTTCATTTTTTCAGAATACCATTTCTAAGCACACGCTTTTGCTGCTTTCATACAATTTGCCCTCCTCATCCCTGAATTATGATGATGTGAAGGTATTATCTGAGAATCAGGCTCAAACAAATCCCTTCAGCATCACACTCAGATAGGACAAAGACAGAGAGAGCAGGACAGAAAAATGCATCATATTATTCACAAAGGAAGAGGGGCTTTATTTTACAAATAAACTGATGTGAGGATATTCTTTCATTTTTATTCAATCAGGAAAAATGAACAGAACAAAAAAATTCGATCACAATAATATTCAGCTCAGCTGTTCATTTTGGTTCAGGATGTGTATGTGATGCTTTGGACAAGGGTTCTGCTCCCAGCCTCCATAAGGATCAAGAAGACAAAACAGCATCTCTTAAAATGCAATAGTGCAAGAGAAGCCTGACAGTGAGCAAAAGAGTAAAGTAATTTTGAGATGAGAATACTCAATTCTCCTTCATCATTTTTTCTTTTTTATATACTTATATATATTTTTAATTTTGCAAATATTTGCCAAAATGAGTTTATTTATTGTTCAAGGACAGGCCTTACCACGGATGCTCACTGACCTAGAACTCTATACCACTCCTCCAAAAAAGCAGTAGCAAAGTTAAATGTTGTATAGAGCTTGTGTCCATCTTCTGCATGTTGTTTGTTCAGCTGTGAGGCTGTACAAATAGTTTGGTCCTGTGCCTATATTTTAAGCACGAAGAGCTCACTTTAACATTTACCAGCCTTCTTTTCAGCCTGGATACTATTTCCACATCATTTTTGCATGCAGTCAGAATTATTCATTCCTTTATTTCCCATTAAACTATTAAAAATGGGACCTTGGGCTTGGAGTCTACCAACTCAGTCATAATAGGGTTTGTCATTTCTTTTTGCAGTATCACCTAATACATGTAAACATGTCACAAAGTAATCTGACAGTGAAGTCTGAAAAATAATCAGAAAAAAAAAGAGGTGTTTTTAACAGATGCACACTGACTTATGCCACATTGTCTGTCCCACGAACTGTCCCATTCTGGGCACTTTTTGAACAGTTTCTCCTGAAATGGGACATAGATATTGGTCAGCTTCTGGAATCACAGACTGGGCTCAGTCTCACAGTGGTGAACTGAAATGGAGGAGAAATACTGCACAGAACCTCTCATGAGAAATGCCTTTTCTCCAACCTTTCTTCTAACACCTCTAAAAACTGTTGATGTGGATGGGGCAATTTTATCTTCCTGAAACATCCATTCATAAATTGGTTGAAAGTTAAGAGACTTGGTTCAATTCTGCATGGTATAAAAATGGATAAAATAATGTATTTTGGCCTGAGTGCAATAATAACACTGAACCACAAATGCATATTAAAGCCACCACAGTTTATGATTCTAGATTTTAAGAAGATGTTCTGGTTTAATTTGCATTTCTCCTCCCTATTTTTAGGCTAAATGACTGTTCTGAGATAGTTTTCAGTATACGTAAGACAGCAATGAGCTACTGAAGTGTTTTAGCTAGAGTGGGGATGAGTGACTCCTTAAAAACACATTTCTCATGTCTGGTCATATATGTAGCCCTTCTGCCCCAGCAGAAGTGGATAAAGGGAAGCCTGCCCACCAAACTCCACATCTTTGCCTTTCAAGCTGGCATGCATCCATCCTGCTGCTGTTCTACTGAGTGACACCAGCTGGTGTGGTCTTTTCCATTTATCCTGGCCTTGTATGAGTTAGCAGCTGGCAAAGGCTGTTTTTAATAATGTATTTATAAAACTTTGCTGCCTTGCAAGCCCAGACACACAGAAATGACGTTTGAGCTCTCAGCGCTGAAAGTGCAGAATGCCCCATGGCAGATCTGGTTTCCCATCTCTCCCTAAATGCCAGAAACCAACATTTCCTAGGAAAAAAAAACCTTGGGCTGCAGGCTCCCATAGCTATTTAAAGTTGCCTGCCCGATCCCTCCACAGGCGGCTGCCTGATTGGTATTTCTGTAATGTGTTTATTTAGAAGGAAATTCTAACTACTACTGTAGGGGAATGGTGATATTTTAATGCCCTTTTTACCTTGCAACCTTTTCTAGCAAGCTCTGTGAGAACCTTACTGTCTCACAGAGACACTGTCTGGTTGAGGTGTAAACTACAGCACCTGCCTGCGCTCTTTGGACTTAGGGATGGTGCTTAAATAAAGCACTTTGCTTTTTGGATCTTATCTAGCATTTATATTCCACTTCTGGCAGATGCTTCCAACTTCTTATTTGTAGAGCATGCAGTGTATTCAGTACCTTATTTGTGTCTGCATATGATAAAGACCTTTGAAAATACAGGAGCCTGCATTTTGTACTGAGAATAAAGATTTATAGGTACAGGAGGCTTTCCCTTTTATATTTCCTAAACCAGAATGATTTACGATTTATTTCTGAGAGACGTAGTAGAGATTGACCCATTTTTTGACTGATCAAGACTGTACGTGAACAAATGCTGACACCTCTATGCTTTTTGTTCGCGATTCCTCAGAACCGTATTGCTTTGCAGAGAAATTTCCTAGAATGCATAATCAGCCCTACAGCAATGATCTATAGTGTACAGTGTTCCCTTTATGCCTTCTTTGCATATCAAGGGGAAGAAACTGATGTGCATGTTAAAAGAGAGAGAAAGCTGAAATTCTTTAAGAAAAGAACCAAGAAATCTGTACACCAGAGTGAAAGATGGAAGCAGGAGCTGAGAACAACTTTTCCAAAATGATTCCTCAGGCATTAAGAGCTGCAAAGTGGAAACTATTTTCCCTTGCAAACGTGGAGTTTAGTACATTAAAGTGCAATGATTTCATGATTCTCATAGTAAAAATTAATTTTTAATAGTAAATAAATGATTAAACAGTAAGAAAGGATTTAGATTGGTGTTAGAAAATGTAGCTGTACTTGACATGGCTTGTTACAGCACTATCTGAATTCTGTGGCTTCAGACAAGGTATATTTGAGACAGTAACCTTGAACCGAAGGTATTCCACTTGAGCTTTTACATTTCTTACCTAAATAGTTGAAAGGTATATTTTGAACCTGCTGAGTTTATGACTATGGACGTGGACAGCAGCAAGCACGTATAGGAAAACATCCATGTGTTTTTAGTATTTCTGAGGCTTGGGAACTGAAAGCAGCCATGGGTGAAGTGGCAATGTGTGTGATTTGCAGTGGGCTGTATCCCAGCTCCTCGTCTTGTATCTCCTAATGATGAATATGTGGGAGGACCATGTCAAGAATAGTTTCCACTCCAGTGCGTTGATTGTGCAGTAGGCAGTGAGCTCAATTAAAGTATAATAATCTGGTAATCTTTCTCCTTTTCCACTCAGGCTGCTGCACACTGAATAGAGGCAGTGAAAGGCTATAGCATTTGAAAAGTAGGTGAACTTCTTGCCTCTTTGTCTGAGTGGTTTGTGTCTCGTCAACAAAATGAGAAGCGGAAAAGACAACTCCCCAAAACCATGCTCCCATGCCTTGCATCATTACTTTTGTTTGCTTTTCTGTGAGATAACACTTGCTCTTTATTTTCCTTGATAGGCCACAGATTGGATTTCTAGAGAGCTTCCCACCACGGTGAAAAGACAAGCTGATGTGAGAAAGGAGATATGTCTGTTATGGGAAGATGCCGTTTACTCTGTCTCCTTTTCGCACTTGTGTTCAGTGAGGAGAGAACTGAGGCACAGAGAGCAGGTATGCACCATTCCACTCCTGTTAAATAGTGGCTGGGGCTTGTGCAAGACTGAGATGCTATCACTGTTATCATTGTAGGAAGAAAGCAATAAAAAAGCAAGCAAGATCCCCTGGTGTCCAGGGGATCAGGCCCAGCCAGCATGGGTTCATGAAAAGCAGGTTGTGCTTGACCAACCTTGTCTCCTTCTACGACTGGGTGACCAGTCTGGTAGATGAGGGAAGGGCTGTTGATGTAGTCTACCTAGACTTCAGCAAAGCCTTTGACACGGTCTCTCACAGTATTCTGCAGAAACTGGCTGCCTGTGGTCTGGACAGGTCTACCCTTCTTTGGGTAAGGAACTGGCTAGAGGGCCGTGCCCAGCGGGTTGTGGTGAATGGAGTTAAGTCCAGCTGGCAACCTGTTTCAAGTGGTGTCCCCCAGAGGTCGGTACTGGGGCCCATCCTGTTTAATATCTTTATTGATGACCTAGATAAGAGGATTGAGTGCACCCTCAGTAAGTTTGCAGATGACACCAAGCTGGGAGGTGGTGTCGATCTGCCTGAGGGTAGGGAGGCCCTTCAGAGGGATCTAGATAAGCTGGATCACTGGGCTGAGTTGAATGGGATGAGAAGAAAAAAAAAGGAGAAAAAAAAAAGGAGTTTTTAGACGTTCTTTTAGTCTGAGGAATTGCTGCTTTAAAGAGATGTTACGTGATCTGCTCAGGCTGCAGAAGAAAAGGCTCTTGGGAGATCTCACTGTAGCCTTGCAGTATTTAAAAACAGCTTATAAGCAGGAGGGAGACTGACTCTTCATGGTCTGGTAGTGACAGGACAAGGAGGAACAATTTTGAACTAAAAGAGGGGAGGTTTAGATGAGGCTTTAGGCAGAAATTTTTTCTCAAAGGGCAGTGAGTCACTGGCACAGAGAAGCTGTGGATGCCCCATTCTTGGAAGTGCTCAAGGTGCCAGATTGGATGGGGCCCTGTCCAACCTGATCTAGTGCCTGATTTAATGGTTGGCAACCATGGTCATGACAGAGGTGTTGGAACTACACAATTTTTGCAGTTCCTTCCAACCCAAGACATTCTGTGATTCTTTGTTTTTATGATTCTACGATTTTTGTAAGTCTTTTAGTATGAAGTTTCAAAGGAATGACTACGTATTAACAAATAAAAAGTGAAATGTCATCTTTTCTAGTTCTAGTGGATCAGTTACAGAAAGGAAGTACTGCTTATAATTTCATTATATAATTATGTTAAATAATTTTGGTCTTATGGCTTGTTTGTGAGCTATTTATAATGGCAGTGTAGCAAAATGGTTGAGCCAGTGTCTGAACAGGTGACTACAACTCTTGGAATTGTGGTTCCGGAGAGCATTCCTGTAATTAAAAAACTGAAAGTTCACTTTCTATGAATTATGTCCCATATTCCCTTAAAGTGAACTGTTTCTGCCAGTAAACAACATTGTAATAGCATTCTTGGAAAACAATCAATTTTACCTAGCAGTGGACAATGCAGTAATAAAAATGCAGATTCATACTTACTAAAAGCTTTTCTGCAGCATTTAATCTCACTGCCATCAGCAAAGAATGACTGACTTTAAGAAGAGAATCCTGAAAGACCATATTTTTCTGCTCTGCAATGCTGCCTGAATAGGCATCACATTTTAGATTTCAAAAACACCTTGTTTTAAGGCTCATTGCCCTTGAACAGAGATAGGATGGATTCTTTCTGTTCTGTTTGTTTTTAAAGTACAGTCATCTCATCTGCTGAAAGTCATTAAAATGAACAACAGGAAGCTCTTTACTTTGTGGGTTTTATAGTTAAACCTTTATATTTTGTGGTTAGTCTCAGTTAATATTCTTTCAGAAAGCAGAGATTAACAGTGATTTTTTCTTTCGTTATGGAAATCAGAGATTTCTTTCTTAACTTTTTCTGTTACATCCTTTATATTCTGCAAAAAGCAAATAGAACTATACTTGGCAATCTAGCCAATATACGTGGGTGCAATGTAATTGGCATTTCATAATACAAAACCATATTTTCCATCATCTTCACACTCTCTTTGCTGAAGAGAATTACTGCAGTCTCTGTGCAGCAGTTTCCAGGTAGCTGCTCATGCTGCTGATATATCCAGACAGATCCTTCTTGCTTTGTGGTTACAATCAAGGATTTCCTCTTTTATAAAATTCCATCACAAAACATGATCCCATATGGACAAGTTGTTTTTAACATGACTTCAATCCCATATGGGCAAGTTGTTCCCTTTGTCACAGGAAGAACAGCAACACCTGGCTCAGGTTTCTGGCATGTCCCCTGTATCAGAAGTAAACGCAGCAACAGATGATGCTCATTTTTCATCATCCATAACGTACCAAGTATATGTTCAGCCTCTCTCAAAGCTATCATGTAGTATTGTGAGCGTTGCTCTACGGTGTTGTAATATCTGACTGTAATGCTGCTTCTCTTATTTGAAGACAAGTTCTATTCATGTTAGCCATCCACACACTCCTTTCCAGTGCAGGAGCTGTTGTAAGACTCCTGTCCTTTGTAGGGCAGGTGCACAACATTAAAATGATCAATAGCATCAAAACTAATATTTGAAATGTAAGCTCAAATGTGGGAGAAGACTTTGTGACCTTAGGCTCCGATATCAGAATTCTGTGAAGACATGCTAACAGTATCATGCCCATCCACCTTTGGATAGTGTGTTTCATACTTCTGTTCACTGAGGTGGCTGTCATGAAAGTACTTGGATACCTCCATATTCTTTGGCCTGTAGGGAAAAATGTCCAGTCTTCAACTAACAGCTGGAATGGATGCTTTTACATTAGCATTTTAGATCTGTTAAAGAGTGCAGAAAGGAGTGAGTGTTTCCTAAGTGAGATGGCAGGACTGAGGATGTTCAGCCAAGAATCCAGGTCATCAAAGAAGCTGATGAAACAGGTCCGAGATCAATCCAGGAACATGACTCAGCAAGGCATAGTGCAAATGTGGTCTAAAGACAGCAGTTGAGATCAGCCATCTACTGGGCAGATCTGCAGAAGAGAGGCATGTCTGAGGTGATAAGACAAGGGGAAGTGTTCCAAATTAAAAGAGAAGATCTTTACGCATAAGAAATCAGGTTTTTTAATAGAAAGTGTGGAGAGGCACCAAAGCTGGTTTCCCAGAGAGGTGGTGGATGCCCCATCCCTGCAGAAGTTCAGGATCAGGCTGGACTGGACACTGTGATTCTATGAGTAAATGTATCTTGATCACTGGTATGTAGAGGTTCAGTTGCTGGAGCCTGGCTGGAACTAATCTGGGTGTGAAAACACAGAAATCATATAGTGAGGATGTCACTGACGTATAGAGAGCAAAACTGTTCTCAGTGAGCATACTTTAGAGTCACAACTTTCCTTGACTACTCCCAGATTTTCTGATCAATGGAAGTGTGTTGATCAGTCCAGAGCATGGAGGAAGTTAATGTCATGGTTTTGATATTAATAATTAAGTGGTGCGGGCACTTGTATGGACCAGTTCTCTGTCATTAAGCGCTGTATGTGCTTGGTTTTTCACATGTTTTGTCAAATTAGCCTTTTAGGATTGATTCAAACAAGCAGTTGTGCTTGTGAGACGGTGTAGGACAAGAATTAATGCAGAAATGATGACAGGTGGTTGTGACCCTATATAAATCGACTCTGTAGAGCCTTCATTCTTGAAGCTGTGTGGTTTGTTAGGCGCTACGGTTTATAATGGTAGATTAAATATATGCATGTATATGTTTTTCCAGGTGGCATAATGTTAATATATCTTGGTCATCTCTGGGAATTTTTATGTATATTTTGCCTGCTAGTTTGCATATAGTCAGAGAGAGCTAGAAAACATCTCCTGGGAGATTCATTTTCTTGGCAATCAGCTGACAAATATGTGATCAGTCTGGTTTCATAGGGCAAAAAATCTGCAATTAAAATACATTTGTCTTTCAGATTACACAGGCCACAGATTACAAATATCATGGCTGGAGCCAAAAGGGTGTTTGTAGAGATGAGTGAACTTTTTCAGTATAAAGAAACTGCCCTTTGTTGTCAGGGAAGCCATCCCAGTATTCAGTGAGTCATCCTTTAGTCAATAGTCAATGGCAGAGAGCCTCAAAATTGAAATAATCATGTTATAAAGTTGCTTCACCAAGCTATCATGCTGAGCAGAAGAACTGCTTCTAGCTAAGAATACATAAATCTTAATGTTAACGCAGGAGGGAACATGAAAGCTTCACTACTCAAGGTCAAGATTGGCATAGGGAAGGTCAGAACTGGTCTCTTGAGCTGAAGGTCATTTCAGAGCATTGCCTGAGCAAAGCAACTGCAATGAAGTTTTTAAAAGAGAAAAAATAGCTTCATATACATGCAGATGGTGTAGGTGAAAGATTGAGCAGAGGAAGTTAGTAGTGCAGGAAGAGGAAGGGTATGCATTTCAATGAGAAGTGCATGCTGATCCACTGTAGATCTGAAACAGAAGAAGTGAATCACAAGGCAGAACGGCTGAGAATCTGCACTTTCTCTGCAGAAGAGGGAGAGATTTTCTTGTCTCCTCAGCATTGCTCACTGAGGAACCATGCCAGTGGAATATTTGTTTTGTCTGATAGTTGTATTTCAACTTTCCTCAGCAATGTATTCTGCCACTTTTGCAGGTTGCAAGAATGTTCATTATGACCTTGTTTTCATCTTGGACGCCTCCTCCAGTGTCGGAAAAGAAGATTTTGAGAAGGTTCGACAGTGGGTGTCTAACTTGGTGGAAACTTTTGAGATTGGTCCTGACAAAACCCGTGTTGGTGTGGTGCGATACAGTGACAGGCCAACCACTGAGTTTGATCTGGGAAAGTACAAAACCCGTGAGGAAATCAAAGAGGCCGCCCGAAAAATTAGGTATTATGGGGGTAATACAAACACTGGAGATGCTCTCAGGTACATCAATACTTACAGTTTTTCCAAAGAGGCAGGTGGGAGACTTAGTGATCGAACTGTTAAAAAAGTGGCTATCCTTCTGACTGATGGAAGGAGCCAAGATTATGTCTTGGATCCTGCCAATGCAGCTCGTCAGGCTGGAATCAGGATCTTTGCTGTGGGTGTCGGTGAAGCCTTAAAAGAAGAATTGGATGAGATTGCTTCAGAACCAAAGTCTGCTCACGTGTTTCATGTCTCTGATTACAATGCCATTGATAAAATTCGGGGGAAGCTGAGAAGACGTCTCTGTGAAAGTAAGTAGACCTCACAGTTCTTTTACACGAAGAGAATTAGTAGGTTCAATTAACATGTAGGTGTGAAAAGCTCTGATTTTTTCCTTTCATACTTACCTGATTATAATTCTATGCTGATAGCTCTTTATTTTATTGTCTTCTCCTTTCTTCCACTCTGTAAGAAGTCATTTTACTACCTGGCTTGTGTTGAACTGCTCCCATTCTAGGTTCTTCTGCCCAGGTTAGCTTAAAGTATAGATCAGCTTCTAGTGGTCAGCTAGAAAACAGATCATGAATTCCCTTTTCATTCTTAAATAGTTCAACTGCCTGTATTTTTGGACTAAATGGATTTCATCTGATTTATTCTGACATTGGTGAGAAGGTTGATAATCTTATTTATACCCCAAATTTAGTTAAGTTTGCATGGGAATCTTTGTGTTTTTGTTTTGTTTTTTAATTGAAGTGGGGAAGTTTTTTATTTTGTTTTGTTTTTCTTCTGTCTTTATTAGATTAAAAAAAAAAGTGCCCTGTATAATCTACTGAGAATAGGAAACAAAAGGAAACTTATTCGTTTCTGTCTTTAAACATCCTAACTCTATTAACGACTAGTGCTCTGCCTAGCAACCCCATAAATCTTGGTGATGTTTTAAGTGGTGTTTAGTAGAGAACAGTGTTCTCTTGTTCTTGGTTTTGCTGCTTTTCAGTGTGTGTTGTGGTCATTTTCAGTTCTTTAGGTCAAATTAATTAGATACTGTTCTGGATCATAGGTCTGAACTTGAAAGACAACAGATGAATCTCTGTGGGTTGCTGTAATGTTGTAATGTCAGTGACCTGGTGTACAGGCTAGGAAGTTGTCTTACTGTCTGCTGGTAGAAACATATCTGGGAAGAAGCGGGTCTTCCAGTTTGATGTTGTGAAGCTCTATTTTTGCTCTCCATAACATTTCGTTGCAAGAAAAATGTGTTAATGTAATGCTCTGGACTTATGAGTGCTTCTCAAATAAAGAGTTGCACTTGTAGACCTAGGCCTGGTGATGTTGCCCCACAACGTCATGATATGACTGCTTTTTTGCTGCTTGAATAAAAATGCTTGTAGATGGTGTGAGATACAAGTGAAAATCATGCTGGGTATTCACTACACGTTGCAGATTGAAGGAGCTGAATGTTTCTTCTTGAAAATGTATGTAATTATACACTTATGACCAGAGTAGAATAAGGCAGGGTAAGCCCTTCTTGGTGGATATACTCAGACAACTCAAACAACCTCTTACTGAAACTGCTGAACAACCAAATTCTAATTTTCCTTTGAAAATCTGTCACATTTCTTTTCCAGGAAAACTGCTTTTAGAACTTCTTACCTGTTTGTTGCTTTCTCAAGAAAACATTTGCCCATTTGACAAAGTACAGTGCCATTTGTTTGTGGCTTTCTGAGTCCATGCTACATTCACAAACATGTTCTTGTCACTCCTCAATAGATCCCAAAGGATTACTAGGAGCATATTTCATCCATATGTGATAATTATCACTCTCCAAGATGTTTGTTTCCGCCTTCACCAGTAGGTGTGGTGTGGAGAAATAAAGCCTCTGAAAGGGTAAATGAAAGGAAAAAGTTTAGTTGTATTAGAAACAGGGAAATTTAAGGAGAAAGCTGACTGCTGTATGGATTGGTTTCTATGTAAGAACAAAGGGAATCGGACAGTCGTCAATGAGCATTATTAATTAAAGAGGGAGCAGAGAGAAAGGGAGTTAGGTGAACAAACACGGAGTGGATAATGTGTACGTTTGGAGGGACATTCAGGCAGAATAATGAAGTGTAAGATAGTTGGCAGTGACACAGGGGAAATAACCATCTGAGTGCATGAGGAACTTGAGAGGAGTGGATCCAGTATAGAAAGGGGAGTTAACAACTAGGGCAGTAAACACAGCCGCCTTTAAGTGTATCAGTCTTTACAGTGGCATGATTACCACATCCACAGCAGTTACAAGAAATAGATCTGCAAAAGGTGTTCCTAGTGGGTGTTTTTCTGATTCAGAGATCCCAGTGAGATGCTGCAACATCTCTAGATCCTTCATTCCAGCCTTGGTAGAAGACACTTCTGCTCAATATCTGGCCTCAATCCTTCTCACTATACTTGGAGCTCGAACCTGTCCTATATTAGCATAGACACTGGATAACCTTTTTTTATTCTCTGAATAGTGAAGTGGAACTGTTCTGGAGGATGAGAGGGAGCTGGTGCAGAATCCAGTCTCTTCTGGTGCCTGTGTCACTTTTAAATGCTGTTTTAATATGTTGGGAACAGAAGAAGAGTTCACTGTAAGGGCTATATCTTACACGTATTTAGAAGGTAAGACTTATAATAGATGTTGTGGTTAACAATCTGTAATTTCAATGTGACAACTCTGAATAAAACAGGAAGATACAAACCACTGGTAGGTGGAGAACATGATGAGGGCATATGCCAAGATGCTATCTAAGTGCTGAGATAAAAGTGTGTATCATCAGAGCCAGCCTAGACTTTTAATAGATGCAATCCTCGGTGAGCTCCTGGGAGACATGAATCAATGAGTGGAAATGATAGAGGGGAAATTATTTTGTTGTACTGACCAGTGATGAGTTTTCCAGTCTTTTATTACTATATTACGAGGGAAGACTTGTGCAGAGTTGCCAATAGAGGATTTCATGCCAACAGCTGTTCATAATCACTTGTCTCTGGTCTCACTGGATGTCTGTCTTAGACACTGTCATCCCATCTTGCTATATCTGACTGAATTTATTGCTAAGAACATGCCATTATGTTCATTTTTAACTTCTTAGCTGCTATTTGATCTTGTGGAAATGAGCAAGACAGAATAAAAAAATAACATGTCTACTCAGTGAGATGTTGTGGCAGTGGGAGATATTTTTGACAAAAGTCTCCACTATGTTGTGGACTATATTTAGAAGGCAAAAATGGGTGATTCTTTCACAGGACAGCAGGAGAGATGTATTCTGTTAAAAATTCCAGATATGTGTTCTAAATAGAGTTTCTGCTTATATGTTGTTTAGGTAACAACAGGCAGCTATGGAATATTTAAAAATATACTGGCATCTGCTTCTGGTAGGTAAATAGAAGGTTTATGCTTGTCAAACACAGCCAACTGTTTCAGATTCAATATAGGTTTCATCTGATTCTGAACTTGATATGTTAGTGCATATATAAAGCTAAAGCTGTTGACCTGACATAGATCTGGTAGCTCTGGATGTTAACTTCAGTAAGAAAGACATTGCAGTGGTGCCCTAGAACACCCACATGTGGTCAGGGATAATTGTTTCTTAAACAAAATTGATTACAGTGTTCTGGATCCGTTTTTCTGTTGTTGTTAAGCAAGACAGGTGATAAGATGCTGTTTGCAAAACTGAGCAAAAATGTTCTCCTAAAACATTCTTGATCTCATTCTGACTCCATAAAGGAGAAGCCTGTGACTTGGCAACTTCAGGCTGATTTCTGAGCTCTAATCTACTGCAAAGTTCAAATTTCGCAGTTTGAAAGGAAATTTGGCATGACAGCTATAGTCTCTGCTAAAAATTATTTTTTTCTACACCTAGTAATAGGAGAACCACAAGCAGATGTTTTCTAAGGAAGTACTGCGCTCAGTGTTGGTCCATGACCATTAGTAAGTTGTATTTGTAATGCAGCTCTTTCTACAATCAGCTTTCAGTAGCCTGTGAGCTTGTTTTATCTTTCACTATGAGCTCTTCTATAAGTATGTGGAAGACTAAAGGACTATGTCATTAAATCAGTCTCAAATCTTAGCAAGCATAATGAGCTAGAGCTGAAATATTTCAGTATCTGATAGGTACCAATACTTCATCATTAATTTCAGTGCAGATACCAACTCCTGCAATCAAGTCTCAAAAGCAATCACATGTTCAGATGATTCATAAAGTGTATTCTATTTTGTACTTGTCTCTTTTGATTTTGGGTTGTGTGTGCAGTTCATAAAATGTAAGTCCAATAGTACCATAGCTCTTTTTCTAAATGCAAAAATGCTTCCAACCTTCCATGCAGAAGCTTGAACACCATTCAAAATACTTAAACTCTTGAGTTGTTTAAGTCAACTTCCTCAAGTTCATGACATATTTGCAGAGGAATTTGCATTAAAAAAGCAGTCTGTTTCTTTGTGAACTTTAATATTAAAAAATATCTCATATATAGAGAACATGCTAGAGGATAGAGGATAGGACAGTTCCTAAGAAATTTATCAGTATGATGGAATCATACACGAGTACTGAAATATCTGAGCACACCAGCACTTAGCAGTACTTACCTAACTGATGACATGAGCACTTTTTACTCCTTGTTGTCCTCTGAGGTTTCACTGAGAAAAAAAAAAAAGAAGTATTTATAAATAGCTTTGCATTAGACATCATGGAATAGGGAAGGAGACAGAATTTGTAGACTTGGGAATCTGCAGTCTACTCTTCCTTTCATAGTCTTTGTGTTCTCCAGAAGTTTGGCTTTGTGGTAGTTCCAAGCCTTGGATTTACTGCAGAGGGGTTTAGAAGCTGTTTTTTATTGTTGTAATCACTTGTAAAGACCTTCCACAAATGTGAACATTTGTCATGTGGGCAGAACTTAGGGCATGCCATACATTTACTTGTAAAAAATTGTGACACCCTCATCCATGTTGGGTGCAGAGAAGGTTGAAGTGTTTTAGGGTATTTTAGAGTAATCTGAGCTGTCTAGAAGACTGGCTAAAGTCTCATTAGCACCATATGTCCCATGGGGTCAATCTCACTGTTGTGCCTCCAACTCCTGTATACATCACACATGCCACAGATTGCACTCCTAGTGGGTTGTTGTACATTTGTCTGCTTGAACAGTACGTTCAAGCAATGTGGCTATCAATTTATATTTTGCTTGAAAAAGGAGCAAAACTTTCACTTCTCATGGGTGATGGCCTGGCAGGATATAAAATGACTGATAGGTCTAGTGGTGATCTACCTTCTGCCATTGGTTGAAGGACAGTTTGCTGTCTTGG